CCAGTGGGATGTTTGGATTGCCTTCGAGCAGCAATGGACCGTTAACATACTGCTGATGGCTTAAAGAAAAGCCTCAGTAATGTTTGTGTCTTAAGTACTTTAGATACATTTTACCATTAATAAGATTGCTTGGCTAATCGCATTGCAGGACCAGGAGCACTGCTGTTTAAAGTGGTGAACAAAGCACTTGGATCTTTTAATTAATTAAATATAGTATGGGAGCAATTTAAAAAACTTCACCATAAAAGGAAGTAGCACTTAAATCAAACTTTTGAAATACACCACAAATGTGTTAACCTTTCACATTATTATTTGATAGTGAAGCACAAACATTTTCATTCGGTTGTAGCTGGCTAATTTGAAATATTTTGTGTAAGGTTTCTAAACCTTAGTTTTAAAGACTGGGTCACTTAAAAGAAAAATAGTAAAATTAAAGGCTTGTGATTAAATACATCAATTATACCCATTTCCAACCCCCTATTTTTATTCATTTACGGCAGTGGGATAGCTTTATTCTACAGTTTATTGATTGATTCACATGATTCATAGCCTATTCACAGTGAGAAAAATGCACATTTGACTGCCTTTCACATCCCATTCAAGTCAATTTTCTTCTAATTGGATGTCCCTTGCAAACAGAAGGTTTGAACAGTGGGACGTGGGGCTTCCTTTAGTCACAGCCAGATCTGTGTGCCTCATATAAGTGTATTAGGGATATCTACTCTTACTGAGATAATACAAAACTAAGAACACCAAATTTAGAATCTGAAGCCTGAGCCTTTGGCTCAAAGTGACCACTTGTACAAACACCTTCCATTACTGGCATCCATTATTTTACAAAAAAGTTAAATTTCAAATGAATCTCTGCAATCCTGTGAAAAACTAAGTACACCATTCCTGCTTCCACAGGAATGAATAGGGTTCTGTAAATAGCAGACAGGTGCTGCTAATTAAAGCACTTGATTAATTGATCATCAGCAACTGTGAGGAGTACTATGAAAGCAGAAGTTTTAACTGTTGCCTGGTCTGGAGCATTCAGGTGTGTGTTAACACACAGTCTTCCAAGGAGTGAACGCCCCAGATAAAATTCAACCCAAAGGTCAGACTGTGCAGTTCTCAGAGAAAAACAAGAGACCTAAGATCTACATCTCAGACTCTGCAGGCCTCAGCTAGCATGTTAAATGTTCAATTTCATGACAAGACAAAACAAGTGTGGCTTGTTCGGAAGGGTTGCCAGAAGAAATCCTTTTTAGTCGTATTCTTAGCCATAACGGTGGAAATCAAGCACCTCATATCAGATGTGAAGCAAGGTGGTGGAGGGGTAATAATTTGGGGTTTTTGGTTTTTTTTTTGCAACCACAGGGCCTGGGCACCTTTCAGTCACTGAGTCCACCATGAGCTCCTCTGTACACCAAAGTATTCTAGAGTCACACGTGAGCACGTGAGGCCATCTGTCTGACAGCTAAAACTTAGCTAAACAATGATCCCAAGCATAGCAGTTAATCTACAACAGAATGAAAAGAAAAAGAATCAAGGTTCAATGAAAGACCTCAACCTGACTGAGAGGCTCAGATGGGACTTTAAGAGAACTGTGCATACATGAATGCCCAAAAACCTCAATGAAGGGATGTAACGTTGTACAGAGTGGGCCAAAGTTCTTCCACAATGCCATTAAAGACTGATAGTCATACAGAAAACCATTGCTTCAATATTGCTTTTTAAGTTGGCGCTACAAATTACTGAATCATTGGGTGTACTTAGTTTTCCAGAAGACTGCATAGAATCTTTTATTGTCATTCCAATACACGAGGCAGGCGAAAAGGGAACAAAACGTAATGAGGTCCCAGTTAAACAGCATTAGAACAAGCAAAACAACTAAATCAGTATTACAATTAAATAAATTAAACCTCTTAATAAAAAAGACATTGTTTGTTTGTTTGTTTAAATAAATTGAGCTAAATTTTATATCTAAAAATATTTATTCATTTTCCCCATTTTAATTTCAAACAGTTATTCAAATAAAACTTTATAGTTTTATAGAAAAACTTTATAGATGTATTGCAATTTTGATGGAAGTAGTAACAACTCACATGCGTCTGTGGCCAAGCAGGCCTTAAAAAAAAAGAAAACCTTTTATAGGGCCGTGTATCTACTGTACGTTAAAAGCAGCATAAAATAAGATTACTCAAACAAACAAGAGTCTACAAAATTAAAGCTCTAGCTGGTTCGATCCCAGGAGGAGACACAAATCCCTGTGGGGTTGTGTCAGGAAGGGCATCCGGCGTAAAAATCTGCCAAATCAGACATGCGGCGCTACCCGCTGTGGTGACCCCTTGAGAACAAGGGAGCAGTCGAAAGTAGCTCTCTACTCGGGTACATTTATTTACAGTAGTTGCTCTGAAAAACTGACTGGTTCATTAATGTAGGGCATGAAATATCAGTTGTGCAGACGGCAGCTCTTCTCTGTTCGTGGGGAGCACAAAGAATTCCCTTTGATGTTAACACTGACTCCGTTACCATTTGACGGATATATAAAATATTCACATTAACTTCAGAGGCTCGATGTTTGGCTGAAGCCATTTGCCAGTGACATGTTTTTCAGATCTTAGGTAAATAAATTTTAGGGGTAGCATGAGTAATGCAGGTGAAGATGAATGATGGGCACGAGCACATGTTTAAATGCACAGACTGTGATGAAACACCGAGTGTGAAGGGTAAGAGAGACGAATGAAAGCGTGCCTTTGTCTTTGGCTTGAGAACCCCTTTCAGAGTGAGCAATATGCCAGGAGTGTGATTGATTCAATCACGTTTACTGTGAAGTCAGCACTAACACCACCAGGAACTATACACTCCCAGCAAGCTTACAACTTGCACTTCTAATAGACTGTTGAGGTATGTTGGGGGGTTTTCAAGCTTCTAAATTTAGCAGCCAATTAGAGTGTGGCTAAATCACTCATTAAAATTTGCAATTTGCAATTTTACACGAAATAAACAAAACCATGAGAGTCTCAAGTGGAATTAGATGACATATCAGCAGAAGGCTCACTAAAAGGTCAACACTTTTAAAGCTTCAATTACAGTCAAATTGTTTATTTGCTTCCAGTTCTCCAGTGTTCACGGGCTTTAAGTTACTAGTCATTCTTATTTGAGTGAAAGAAATTAAATCCAGGAAACAGCACAATGCAGTCTGCTAATAAAGGCGGATCCTGTTGACCACACGCTGGCCCGAGCGACAAACGCGCTGTTTGGTCTCTTAGTGGATTTCACAACTCATTTAAAGAGGTGTGAACACAAAAAAGCTGAAAAGGCAAGACGCAATGCACACAACAAATTACAGAGGAAGTCATTCTCCTCTGCGGCTCGCTGCGTTTCAGGCTATAATTGTGAACAATGCGGAGACTTTTGATATTAGTAAAAAAGAAGCGACATTTCTTCTCAAAGGATACTTTGATGGTTGTTTGTAACTCTGTGGCTCAGGGCCAAAAAACAAAACCAGTAGACAAAGCAGCTGGTGGCTATAGTAGCTCTAAAAGCAAACTTATGATAAATAAAGGAACTTATTAGTTAAGGGAGGCCTATTTCTATGACCCTGAAGACACAAGAGGTCAGCAGCTGCATGGTGCATGGTGCACATTTGCATGTCTGCACTGCGGCTGTGCAGCCCAGATAAGAAAACAGTTACCATCTGTGTTGTAATGGAGCTCTAGTTTTAAATCACGTGTCAAATTGATGAAACACTTGTGAATGAGGAATAATTGGTGTGACGAGTACATCAGAATTTGTCCGCCGTCCTCTGCCGTTTTTTTTAAAGGTGTGTGTCACATTATGCATCTGCACACTGTCGCCCATTTGTCACAGATACAAAGTGAGGTTAAAAATGCCTAATTGGACTGCAGAGGAAATCGAGTGTGTCGCGTCTGCCTAAAGCTGGACCAAATCAAGGATTTCTCTGTGACACTGTTGTGAACAATCGAAAACGGCTGTCCAACGACTGAAAACGCTCTGCTTGTTTCACACTGTACTCATTTGTTAGCCTTAAATTGTTTCACAAAAGTAGGTCCAATTCCTAAACAGAATGCAAACCCAATTATTTCAAGAGACTGGGGGACGGTGAGCAAGGCTGGTGGATCCTTATAGATGAGTGGAAATATTTTGGCTTCTAGTGTCTAAGTTGGCTGGCAAAGAAAGCGGTTATTTTTAGCAGCATGTTTATGTAAGTGACTAACATGTTGTGGAATAATGAGGAGGCTCTCTGGGCCCTCGGTGGAGCTGCAGAGACGAGACTCTCAGAGCGGCAGAGGGTGATTGAAGGCAGCTAATGAGCAGGAGGGAAGAAAGAACACGGGGCAGAAATGACTTGGATAGTGAAGGCATAAAAATACAAAGGAAATAAGACAATTACCAATGGGAGGTCTCTGAAAGGCAGGAGTGAGAAGACAAGCAAACAGAGATGAAAATGGTGCTGAAAAATGTCATTGCAATGAGGCAGATAATTATCGTGGTCAGGGGAAAAAGGAAAGAAAAAGTACACTGGCATGAGAAAGCACTGTTTGATTTGACTGGCTGAAATTTTACCGCTAAAAGCCAAAGATTAAAAAAGAAAAAGAGTAGAGTACCAGTGAGCATTTCACTGCTGTGATTTATGAGCTCATTACTGCTTTCCAGCTAACACCCAAATTGTTTTATCTCCTCACTCATCAAAGCATTACGGCGAAATTTTCTACATTTGGTTGCGTAGTTAGCGCTCATTTTTATTTCTGTAGCAGTATGTTGAGCTCTGGTGCTATTTCAGGCGCAGGTCTATGACACAATAGACTTCAACGCAGTGACTCACCAAAAACACTGACAAACAAAACTACCCTCCTCTACCTAGATTCTGAAATCACCTCTCATTTTTCTTCAATAGCATATCCTTCACATCCTTTCATTTGCAGCCAATTTTCTCTCTCACAGACAAGCACACACACACAGAACAAGCGCTCTAGTACATTGTCTGGTACCTCTTCTCAGGGGGCGGTTCCTGATTGGCTGGTGGCGGTGGTGCTGCCTGCGCTGTTTCCTGCAGGTCAGGGATATTGGCAAAGTCATCTTGCTCTGCCACACCAATGGCCAAAGCCAGGACCACCAGCTTTCCTTCACTGGCTCCCCATAAAAAAATAAAATAAAATAAAATAGATAGAAACAGAGGTAGAGAGACAGAGAGGCAAGGAAAAAGAGAACAGATGCAAAAGGTTCGAGCATAAAGAAAGGCGAGGTGCAGGGAGAGAGAGGAAAAAGGAGAGGTCATTTTAGGTGACAGCGAGGGCTGAAAATTCAGAGGCAGAGAAAACAACAACAGATCATACGAGAGCAAACAGCAGAAGCGGCGACGGAGAAAATGGTCATAAAAGAGGAACTCTGCAACTCCACATAAAACCCCACAAAGTAAGCGCACAGTCCAGGGAAGGATATTAAGAGGACACCTTAAAGTGAAAGGCCAAACTGATAAAAATCGAATGATTTCAACGGGAGCGGGTACAGGCCGTCGGACAGCAAATACATCAGGAAACTCTGGGTAATGATTGTTAATGGATGTGATATTCAGGAGTTTGCACGTCAGCTTCCACGCATGTATAAGGTGTCTACAGGTGCGCGCACACACACGTCACGCAGGCAAAAAACACTACCCCCCCCAACACACACACTGTCATTTATCTAGTGATTTCACCTGCCTTCTGCTTTTCCTCCACATTCACCTTTCCCACTGAACATGCGAGGCGTCTTTCTCCAGAGTTAAGATTTAATTAAGCCTCATTAAGAAGATCTGGACTAATTGTTTCTATTTGAGCGATACAGTATCTTGAGGTGCACGGTGTGTGTCGTTTTCTGGGTCACGGCTCTCTCACTGCTGCACTCTTCTCATTTCATCATCTCTACTGTGCTACAGATTCTCACCAAATCCCCCCCACCCTTTTTCGCCCTTTTTTTTTACCCCACCCCCCCCACCCCCCTCACCCCCCTCACCCACCATACCCCCCCTCACCCCTATGCACTTAATTCTCTGACTCCTCATCACTGCCTCCTTCCTGTCATCCACACCCACGGTTCTATAGCTTAAGCCTCTCGCTGTGTTACAATATCTCGGCAAAGAAATATATGGGGCTGCCAAGCCGCAGAGAGATATCACCCTAAACTTCACAATTTCATCTTTCTCGCATACCGTCGAAGGCTTTTACTGCAGGACTGTAAAGTCTGTTTAATAATCTCCCTTTTATACACCAGTAGTTTAAAAACTTTTATGTCTAGTAACCCTTTTCAGATTAACATGAGTTCCTGACACCATCTGTCACACGTGTATTCATTTTTCCAGCAACTGTATTCATAGTCCTTTTCATTGCAGTGATTTCAATTCATATATTCATTACTGCTGGCTAAATGTATCAGTTCCTTTTTTTTTTTTTATTTCTATTTCTATAATAACTATTATTTTGTCTGCTTCAACCTCTCTGCCTTTTTTCTTGCTAGTTTTATATACACTCAGCTTAAACATTTTGCATTCTGGTGTTACAGCTCACTCAATATGAATATATTGAATATATTTGAATCAGTTATTCTAGATTATTCTATTCAGATCCACTGAGGTACCTCGTTATCTGGTGATACTCGCCTCTGATTGTTTTTGTAATTCACGATACACCGTGGTAGCTCAAAGTGTGCCCACATCAGCCAGTGCCTTTGCTATATCTGTCATACTAGCAGATCTAACTTAGAGAACATTATTTAAGTTGCTTTACCTTGCTTACGTTTGCTTATGGGGCGATCGTGGCTCAAGAGTTGGGAGTTCGCCTTGTAATCGGAAGGTTGCCGGTTCGAGCCCCAGCTCCAACAGTCTCGGTCGTTGTGTCCTTGGGCAAGACACTTCACCCGTTGCCTACTGGTGGTGGTCAGAGGGCCCGGTGGCGCCAGTGTCTGGCAGCCTCGCCTCTGTCAGTGCGCCCCAGGGTGGCTGTGGCTACATTGTAGCTTGCCATCACCAGTGTGTGAATGTGTGTGTGAATGGGTGGATGACAAAGCGCTTTGGGGTCCTTAGGGACTAGAAAAGCGCTATATAAATACAGGCCATTTACGTTTGCTGCAGAAGTCCAAGCCACTTTGCATCCTAAATCCTCCTTTTTATACTTTGCCTGACTTAATGTCATGCTTGCTCAGTTCTGTATGGGGGTCTTGCTGCTAGTCTCGTACAAGTGGAAGGGCGGGGGCATCCTAGATGGAATTTATCCTCCCAAATAAACACTGACTGACCACCTCATTAGGTACATCTGTTAAACGTCTCATAAACACAAATGTCTAATCAGCCAATCACGTGGCAGCAACCCCATCAGGCGTTTAGATATCATAGAGACCTCCTACTGAAAGCTCAAACCAAGCATCAGAATGGGGAAGAAGGTGACTTTTAATATTTCATAGTTGTTGGAGCCAGATGGGCTGGAAACTGCCAATCTACTGGGTTTTCCTACACAACCATCTCTAATGTTTATAGAGAATGATCTGAAAAACAGAAAAATCCAGTTAGTGTCTTAAAATGCCTTGTTGATGTCATGCGTAAAGGAGAATGGCCAGGCTGCTTTGAGCTGATTGGAAATCAAGCACAACTCAAATAACCAATTGTTTTATCTAAGGCGTGCAGAGGGCCCATAAAGCAGATGACCTCACAGCAGCAGAAGACCTCACCAGGCGCCACTCCTGTCAGCTAAAAACAGGAAACTCAGGCTGCAATATTCAGCTGGTAGGATCAGAATTTAAACAACATTCAGCATGGATCCATTCTGCCTTGTATCACTAACTCAGGCTGCTGGTGGTGTAAAAGTGTGGGGCATATTTTCTTGGCACACTTTGGGCCCCTTAGTACCAACTGAGTATTGTTTAACCACCCCAGGCTGCCTGAGTAGTGTTGCTGATCATCTCCATCCCATTATTCTGAGGCTGTTTCCAGCAAGTTGTGGCAAAACTCAGAACATCTCAAACTGGTTTTTTGAACATGACAATGAGTTCACTGTACTCCACAGTCACCAGATCTCAATCCGGTAGAGTATGTTTGGCATGCAGTGAAACTAGAGATTCACATCATGGATGAGCAGCCGACAAATCTGCATTCACCAAAATCTCTGAGGAATGTTTCTAGCATCTTGTTGAAACTATTCCAAGTGGAATTAAGACAGCTCTGGAGTCAAAACGAGGTCCAACCCAGTACTACCAACGTATACCTAATAAGGTGGCTCTGGATGTATTTTAAAAGTTATTTTATAATCACATTAAAAAAATGTTATTTCAATAATGACCAATCCAATCCAAGGTGTCTCTAATAAAGTGGCTAGCAAGTGTACAGTCTTCTTTTGTCTATAGTGGTTCTGATATAAATATTGCAGTCCAGGCATACAAAGCTAAGAGTCCCTGTCATAATATTTCAAACTATCAGCAGAATTAACCTGTACTCCTCATTGAGAACCACTGAATAATATAACATGGTCTATGCAGTAATACTGTAGATACTGTAGGTATGATGTTTATTGGATCTCTCTACTCTCATCACTTTTAAGTACTGTATGGGCAATATTGTTAAAGCACTTTGCTTGAGCCATTGAGCACTGGGAAGGAGAGAGACCATTTAGAAAAGACATTACAGACACTGGGATAAACGATCGATTTAAAGCCACAAAAAAGCCATGTGGTCAAACGGCTCCAAAAGTCAACTATCTGTGTCAATGACATCAACGCATTCCTTCAGCAATGATTCATCAGGACAAGGATTCTGGCCAAGATTGAAATTAACCGGTTTGAACAATGGGTCACGTCTATTACCAGGCCGCTCTGTCATCAACCATAGGAGGTGTTCCTGTTGCAGCAAAGTAGATACAACGACAATGACCTCAATCTCACATTAGCAACGATGAGTCCTATAGCTGACTATTACGAGCAATATTCTCAGTGACCTTGGTGCCTGCATGTGCTACGTTGCTGGTGCTCCGTTAGCTAGTGTTATACTGAAACACCAGAGAGGCTTTATAACATTTTTTTTTTTTTAAAGAAGAAAGAAACAGATGATGAAAGGCTAGTGTAAAACTGATTCAGTCGACATTAAACACATGTTACTTTGGCAGTGTCCTTGCTCATCCCTTCATCCCTCACCCCCACCCCCCCACCCCCAAGTACCAATATGTTGTAGAGGAAATGGGCCCGGTGACATAAGATCAATGCTTCAGGGTTAACACAAATCTACACACAGCTCCTTAACCCCTGTTCTTATAGTGTTGCAGTGACATGTGGGCTGTGTGATGTACACACGGTCCCGCACACGTGAGCAGGCTGGCAGCACAACCAGCAGTTATACAGAGATGATGAAAGAAAAAGAAGGTGCCATTTTAGCTGCAAACACTCATGAAACATGGATTAGGCCCACTGGTGTGTCTCCAAAACCAGATATTTAACAGCTATCCAAAGGGTGGCTCAGAAATAGCATGATCTAATTGGGTGAGAAGGAGTGAATGTAAAATATATTGTGACTTTTTTAATGAGACCAAATTCTGAATGTTCTGAACCAGCACCAGCAGCGCTGTCCTGTAACCACAATTGCAGCAGACAGGCTGAATGCCATCCAAACAGATGTTACTGTTTAGCAGAGCATGCAGCGTAAACATTTAACAATTTTGCCACAGAATGGGAGCGAAATGGCCTCCAATATGTCATACCTCCTTGCTATTTTTTCTTGCACATGGCATTCAGTCTAAATTTAGAATAATAGTTTTCTAACAAACTGCACAATATAAAGCTTTTAATTTGTTACAACCGAGGGGTGAAATGTTGTGCCTACATGATCAGAAGACTCATTATTCTAGGATTTTCAGGAGCCATATCGAGTTACTATATGTACCCAATAAATAATATGTACTATGTATTTTTAGTATAAGTGAGTGGATGACTTAGTAAAGACATACCGTGTCCTGCAGAGCCACATAGTATACATAACAGCAAAAAAGAGAAAAGGTGCTATTTACATTCATAACTGTACCCCTTATTAGCATGATCAAGAGAGTTTTCATCCAAGCCAATTTCTTGTCTCCTCATCTGCATTAAGCTTCATTAGCATGATCAGCTCTAACATTGTCTGAATTGCCTTTGTAAATGTACATATAGAAAGAGAGACTATCTCCTTGTCAGCAGTCAGATTTACCACAAGTAGCAGTGAAAGCAATGATTAAACTCGACTCTGAAACTCACAGTTTCACACACACTTATACATACGCTTATATAGACGCGCACTGTACAAATTTTGACAGACAGAAGTAATATCCTTCCCTGGATATCAGATGCAGACTGAAAGAAAAACCCTGAAGGGAAAAGGCAGAGAACAATATTTCATAAAGGTAAAAGCAGATTAAGTTATTACTTATTTACTGATGTATTAGAAGCAATTTTATTCAAAGTCAAGCATTAAAGAACACAAATGCACACAATAACTCTGAAAGACCTAGCGTATACTGTAATACACTTAGACAGAGGCCTGAGCAGAGTGACGCTAGTTTAAAGCATGAATGAAGAGTTATAGAGACTCACAGGAAGGACTTGACATCCAGCCCACGATTCCGGATCTGGTCCATCATGTAATCCCAGCTGCCCGGGTTGGCACGCGAGCGCCCTCCTGCTCCACCTCCCCTATAGCGAGACGCACCTGCCGCTGCTGCACCGCCCCGTGCACCCCGGGGACCACCTCGTGTACCTGCATCCCCACCCTCACCACTGTTGCCACCTCCCTCTCCTCTCCCAGCACCCCCGCCTCCCCCAGGCTGTCCAGGTGCAGTGTGTAATTGTCCCAAGCTCTGGGATGTGGTGGGGGGATGGCAGAGACCAGGGCCTGACGGGTGGATGAGAGGCTGCTGAAGGCTCTGCTGGCGCAGCAGCGTCCGAGGCCGGGCCGGCCCGGAGGGTAAGTGCTCCAAAGTGGAAGCATAGGATAAGACTGGATCCCCAAAGCTGGGAGGGCAGAGGAGCAGGGAGGAAAGAGAGCGTGAAGAAGGCCACGGCCGGCACAGAATAGGATGATGACGAGGGGCAGAGGAGTCAGAGGTAGAAGAGGAATGAGAAGATTTAGAAGAGGAGCCGTGGCAGGAGGTGAGTTGGTCAGGAGTGGTGATGTCAGGTGATGAGATGAAGAAGAAAAGCAAAGAATCATCAGGGATGAGACAAGGTGGCACAGGGCAGTAGGGAGGCACAGCAGGAGAAGTCAGGTTGACATCAGGGTAAATACAGGAAAGTTCATCCAAACAGGAAGTTGATGATGGACGGATGGAGGACGAGGAAGGCGGAAGAGTGGTATTAGAGGACAAAGAGGAAGAGGGAGGAGTGTTGGGAGGTGGAGACAGGAGGAGGAGGAGAGAGAAAGAGAGCAACGTGAGGCAGCAGCAGTAACAGCAGTAGCAGAAATAGCAGTAGAAGGTGCAGCCTGAGTGATCGCTGTGTGCTGTGTACTGCTCATGGGGCTGCGCCGGGCAGCAGTGTGTAGACTGTGAGGTAGTCTTGTGCGTCTGAGTCAGACGTGTGTGCACCCTGTACGTCCGCGAGGTTTGAGCGTGCTGTTTGCATGAGGGTGTGTTTCGTGGTGCCAGCGGTCGGATGTGCACTGTCCGCACGGGCGTGGAACGGCTCTGTGCCACGTGACCGCGTCGAGACGGATGGGTCGTGGCTTTGCAGCTTCCTGGCCTCGTCAGCGAGGGTTTTTTGGTCTGATGAGAGATCACCATTTCCTCTACTCGTCAGTCAACTTTTTCCCATCCCTGACAGACTCTCCTCCTTTCTCTCTAAGTCTTTTTCGTCTTTTAAATATGCGGCGCACCTCTAGAGACATCCGAACAGCCAACCAAGTTCTACAGCACGACTCCCTCCCTCTGCCAGCCTCTCATTTTTCACTCCTCCCCTTAATAAATGCTGTTTTATTGGCTCGCTGCCTTTCCTAAAATGTCACAAACAACATAAAGATGTGTCACACATATTATATGATCGTATTTGCATGAGTATGTTATAAATACTTCGTTGCTACTGTATATTTTGTCGGTTCTATTGTCACAAACATGTCATCATCTTTTTTTTCTAGTTTCTTCTACTCCCTAAATATATCCTCCTCTTTCTCAGATCGCTGTGTAACCCAGACTACCAGAATTAGGTCATGAGAGAGCTATTCACATCAGTTAGGGGCAGTTTACTCCGCATTGCATTACTTCACCTAACACAGTTTTGCATAAAGCTTTTAGCACGACACACATCACATTTAACAGTCACGAATAAAAGGATAAAAAGGTCAGTGAAAGGTGTTGCAAGAGTTCAATGTTTTGAGGGCGGAACAAGGGAAAAAATAAAAGAGAGAATATGTAGAGTGGCTTTAGCTGGTAAGAGGAAAAAGGGAGAGGGAGATGGCAACGAAAAGAGAAGAGGGTGACGATGGAGGAGAAAATGGGGTGCGAGACACAAACACAAGAGACATAGACACTTACAGCGGCCTGAAAATAGAATCCAATTATAGACAGGGGCAAAATGAAAGATGAGAAGAGGAGAGAAGGAGGGAACGAGGAGTGAGGAAGTGATGAGCGTAAATGTGTTGTGGAGGAAGAAGTCCCACACATGGAGTGCCAAAGGGAGGTGCAAAAATCACAAAGTACCGAAAGTTAGCTGCGTCTTTTGCAGCACACTGAATATAGACCACCAGTGATGTCATGCGTCATGGCTGGTGGGTACAGACAGTCAGTGACCAACACACAGTTCGTCTTTCAGCCTAAATTTTAATTAAAGGGAGGTGAGGGTGGGGGGGCTGCCAGCGTGTGGTGCATTATTTCAGTTAGTGTGCGAAAATGAGACTATTTCTGTGCACAAAGCTGTACTGTGCAGCCGTTCTGCATGTGTCAGCTGGAGGCCTGAGTCAGTGTGATACAGCTCGAGGAACTATTGTTATCTTCTCATGATGAGGTTTACATTCCCTAGCACTCACACCTTGCGCTGTGCCCACACGCTTACATCACGCTGTCATCGAAGCTGCACCTTCCTCCCCTGCTGAACTTGACCTCGCTCTCCCTGTTTCTATTTTGAATGGATTCATTCAAGGCGCGAACTTGTAAGAATAAATGTCGTGCCGTGGAAAGGTGTTTATTCTGCTGCACGGCGACTGAAATGTTTGCTTTTTCGGCTCGGGTTCCGAACTCACTTGCTGGGTTTCAGTCCTCCAGACTGCATGTGGCCCTGGACGGTCTGCCACCTCCCGGCCTTCACTCCCTCTGTCACCATGCTCTTCACGCTGTCACTGCGATAAGGACCCCCCCCAGTATCCCCATGGCCAGTTGCCGCCCCCTTCTGACCCCCTGACACTGCCCCACTAAGAGAAAGAGACAGGGTGCAAAGGGATCCCATGGCAGACAGAGGGTATAGAGGGAGGAGAATAACGACAGGCAGAGGAGAAAAAGACCAAAGAGTGTGAGAGAGAGACACAGACACACAAACACACATACACAGACACACAAACACACACACACACACACACACGCACACAGGGAAATAGATTGAGCAACCACAGGGCTGAGGTGGTGAGACAGATCAGTAGACTGTGTGAAGGGGCAGCCCTATTTTCCAGGCCAAGTGAGAGGCAGGTGGATAAAAAAGGTTTGGAACCTATTGAGGAGAAAAGCAGGGAATGGGGCAAGGAGAACAGAATGAAGGAGGAGGAGGAGGAGGACAAGGGGGAGGAGGAGAGGAATTTACTGGGAGCCTGTGGAGGATGGAAAACCAGCAAAAAGTCCCAGCTTTGGGCCTGGAGGACCAAAACTCTAACTGGCAGCAACAGTGTGCAGACACTAGTCATTGAGTTGAGATGTGCTACTTTTTATGGCATTATATTCACTACAGCAGCTTAGAGGATGAGTTCTGTTTGTGTGTTTCATCCGAAGCTGTTAAGTGCATCTGGTCCTGATCTCAATGTCTCATATTTCATTTAGAGTATGTAACATTACTCAGAAATTAGTGAAATTCTTGAAACTCCACAGTCGAAATTACCGGGAGGGCAATCAGATGACAATGGCTACAGATACAGTGATTAATCAGTGTGTTCATATTAAGGCATGTCATGCCTACAGTGAAAGCATTGACGATCAAAAATAAAGAACATTAGTGCCCTCTGGTGACATGACTACATTTCATTAATATGCAAGGTCCTCCTGCTCTTAAAGACAAAATATATGAGGTAATGAAAACACAGTGAGTCCACGTGGGTACAGGAGGTGCGAAACTTGCACCGTGCCCGTTTAAAGGTCACCTTTCACATGAAACTCTGACCAATTGACCTGACAGCGCTGGTGGATAAGTCATCAATCACAACAACAACATAGATGACACTGCTGGAGCAACGGTCAACACAGGAGACATGAGCCTCATTTATCGAACTGAGCACAAGGGGGACGCCTTTACTTTTCATTAACAGGAGGAAAACATCAATAAGTGGCGCTACGAATCAGAGTATTCACAGATGTATAAAGCTTTTAGACATCAATCCTGTTTCTGACTGAACTACAGTGAAAGCTTAAGAGATTTAAAAAAGAAGTAAAGCCGCATATTATTTGGCCGTTTTTTAAAGCCACCAGATAGATAAAATATTGAGTCTAATTAAAGTCACTCCCTAAGCTTGACTTCATAAATTTGAAAGATATCAACAGACTACAGCCACTTTTCTAAGATATTATGGTGGCTGCTGACTGCTCCTGACAAAAAATTTATAGTTTTATTTTTTTAAACGATAGAATTGAACTTCAAATCTAATAAATCCTTAAACACTGAGAGCGATCCTGCTGGATAGGAAACCTGTTTGATAAATGAAGCTCAGCGTCATTACAGAGACTGAAAGCTGCTGATCTCAAGAGAGTTTCAAACAGGAAATGATTTCCCAGCTGTCTGTTGGCTTTAGAGGCATATTATTGGTTGATGTCACAAGGTCAACCCATCTCTCCTTGGGAGAAATAAGTTCATAATTTATTCAGCTTCTAATTGAGTGTTTGCTTTTGATTTTAAACTGGCTCACACGTTATTGAAAACAGCCTATTTAACCATTACTGAAGTCAAAAGTTCATCTGTTTATGTTCCGTGAAAGCAAGTCCAGCTGAAAAGACGTCTATAAGGGCAATCAAGAAAAACCTTTAAAAGATAGTTTGGGTTGAATTGAATTTGCGCTATACACTGTAAGTAAAATTGAAATGAACTGAAGGTGAACTTCTAAAGAAACGAAGATGAGGGTCTATCGTGTGGCAATTTGAGATCAGCAGCCATCATCTTAAGGCATTTTTCAGACGCAAATGCATATAGCCACTGTGTTCATAAACACATTGCTGCCTCCTTTCTCCAGGCATTTTTTTAACACGCACTCCTCAATGGCTAGGTCTGGTAAAGATGACCAGTTATTAAACACTTTAAAAGACATATGCCTGGTAGCAGGGTGTCTAAACTGTGAGCTCTCTCAGTGCCCACAGGGGCATGGCCTTGCCAATGCTTTATTGGAATCAAGTGCCTAGTGGATGGAAAATAAATAAATAAAAAAGAGCTTTCATTGCAGTAAGGAAAAGCAGTGTTACCATGAATTCCAAAAAGATAAACAACAGATGCAGTTCAAGTATTTCAGTGTTAGTAGCAGCACATGTTGGATTTTATACAGATGGGATTCAGAAAGAAGCCACAGATGGATGTAAACGGCAGGCGAACACTGGCACAAAACTGCAACCTGGTGTAACGGTCAACCCTCCACCGCCACGGCAACAACAACAGCAACCAGCAATTTTTAGCGAACACAAGGAAAAGGAGACGGAGATTACAGAGAAGGTGATTAAAGTATACACATCTCTTTTCTTTTTTTTTTCTTTTTTTTTTTGCTAAGGGGAACTACGAGGGTTGTCCGTCTCCATGGTTACACTCCATGGGAGAGAGGTTAGAGGTCAGGAGTTAGTGTTTAGCGGCAGGGCTGTAGGGAGTAGGGGGGCATCTGAACATGCGCCTCTGTGTTCATTTAAAGGTGACAAGATGTGAGGAGAAGCAGCAGAAATTAGCCTGCAGGGTTTACGCCGCTGTGCTGCAGTCGGAGTCGAACAGCCATTGCGGGATGCTGAAATGTGCATGTATGGCATTTCCCTCACTCACATTTCCCAGGCAGATTATGAGTAATCATTACTAACCCTTTGTGCCCTCGGGTGTGCTAGCATTGGATGGATTACTATAGATGGTGGAAATTAGATTAAACAAGAACAACAACAAAAAAAACAGGTCTTAAAATGTGCAGCCTGTATTTTATGCAACACTGTGACATTTATGGATTATGGCTTTTTTTTAAAAAGGCCTTTGGCTAAACAGCCCCAGTTATTCATAAGAAAATGTGGGCCTAAGGAACAGAGACATAATGGAGATTACAAAAGTAGATGAATTTAATAAGCTGTCATGTGTGATAACAGCCACATCGAGCAGTTCAATTTGATGATTGACTAGCAGTGGCGACTAGACAACTAGGAAACAGGGACGGTGGAAGGGTAAGGAAAGGAAAGGAAAGGAATGGAAAGGAAAGGAAACTGGAGTGGCACTGCCCCTGCCTCATTACAGCCCTGCTCAGGGGAAAGTCTCTTACCAGCTTTGGACCAAGACTCACTTGAGCGTGAGGCGCGGATCTCCATATGGGGCATAGGGAGAAATGTTTAGTACGAACTCCTTGGGCGGATAGGAGCTCCACCTCTGCTGCACTGTGCTGCTGTCATTGTTATTCCAAAAGTCTCTGTCTAGATCACTGTGGCCAGAGAGAGAGACAGGTCAGAGCAACACAACTATGGACAGCCTCGGCACCAACCAACCATTCCCAACAGCCGCTCCTCGTTTTGGAGACGATGCAAGGTCGGTTTGAAGAAGAGGGTTGTTCTTAGAGCTGCGTCAAATGGGAGTTTGAAACAAAACAAGTCCAGATTCATTTCTATCTTTCTATATGAAGTAAACAAGCCACCATAGTGGTGTGACTGAAAAGTAAATAAATAAATTGAAAACAAACAGCAGCCTGGAGGAAAAAGGCATTCACTGAAAGCTTTTCATAGCAATGTACTGTAGCAAAGACACAGAGACAGAAAAAAAAGGAGATAGAGCAAGAGAAGAATTATACTCTGATGAATACATACAGCATGTGATTACATTCTGTTCATTAAGCATGGTACCACTGATGAGAGACATTTGAGTAAACATTAAGAAGTCTGGCCCCCGTCCTTCGCGTGAGCAGTGAGAAAGCGTGAACACATGAGACAGAAGGCAGAGAGGTAAACTGCAGACAGTCATAGAAGGGGAGAAAAAGGTGAGCAGAATCACTGATGTCATACAAATCACACAGCAGTGGTCAGAGCTGCAGCGCGGGGACAGAGCGGGAGAGAAAGGCGATACACAAAGAGAAGGAGTTCAAAGCTGAAATGATCAACAGAGCACAGCGATGCTGCTGGAGCCAGTGAGAGAGAAAATGCAAGAAATTAAGAGTTTAAAACAACCCAAGTCAGAATACATTCACAGAAGCTCGTCTTTAGTGCTCAAAACCGTTCAAACGGAAAATAAAAACACGGCGCACACACGGAAAAATAAGCTGGAGCGAAATCAGGCTACAGGAGAAAAGAAGTGATGAGCAGGTTAACAGAGGCATTTTGTGGAATAAAGTGGAATACTCTGAATTATGATTCTGACATTTTCTGGTACCGACCTATGGCCTTGTTTTATCAAGAACAGAAAATACCTTAATACTAGTTTGAGCCCTGCAAGAAATGTTAGAAAAAACACATCCTCCTGAGCATTTCACTGTGAATGCTCGAGTCCCCGCTTGTTTAACTTGACCCTGAACCGTCTTAAGTGATGCAGATGTGCGGCACTTAAAGGAGACCTGTCTTACATCCAATAAGATAAGTGCAGGAGCAGACTCGTCCAGCCAAAAGCTTCACAGGTAAGATAATGCAGATTTAATCTTTACTGATTAAATCACTAACCTTTCATTTAATGCCTCCTGAACATGCTCTTGTAGAGATTGCCCTCTTCAGGATAGAACAACGTGGGCTCTCTTTCTTTTTTTGTGTAGTGTACATCGAGGGACTTGAAGCTGAACCAAATGGACTTCATTATCACCAGATTTTTCTACCCATACCAGTT